GGCTTTTCCCTCTGGTGGGTTTGCATATCCATCCACAGATGAGTTTTACCTGTTTCTAGAGTGAAGTAGGATAAGGCGTACACTTATTTCTCATTTTTCTCATTTTCATACCAGTAGAGGTAGGAGTACAGAGAAGCTCTATATACAAACAGCCTAGTTTCTCTTTCATTTTACTTTCCCCTACTAGGCTGTACATTTTGCTCCTGGCTCTGGTGCAGCTTTTCTCCATTGCCAGTTCAGAGACAGCCACCCTTGCTGTCTTCCTCGAGGCACCCATGTTCTCCTTCCGATACTGATATTGATATGGATATGAACAGACCCCAAATGATGCCGCTTGTAAGAAGATTCCAATAAATGGTCTTCATCATGGGGCTTCAGTAAGGAGTTGCATAACAGCTGGCTTAAAGCAGTGGGGTGCAGGGGCTGGGGATTTAGCTCAGCGGCAAAGCGCCTGCCTGGCAAGCGCAAGGTCGTGAGTTCTGTTCCCCGTACGCGGCAAAGCGCCTGCCTGGCAAGCGCAAGGTCGTGAGTTCTGTTCCCCGTACCGGAAAAAAACCAAAAAAAAAAAAAAAAAAAAAAAAAAAAGCAGTGAGGTGCAGATTTGGGAGTCATGGTTCTAGTGACATTTTCTTGAACAAATGACTTGCTAGATCTTGGAGTCATCATCCGTAAGTCAGTATAAGTAAGTGAAATTTATATAAATGGGCGATGGAAACTGCTTTTAAGGTAATTATAGTCAAAATGGGTAGCAAATAGCATTAACTAAGCAGCGGGTAAAGGAAGACTACACATAGCTCCATGATACAAGATCACAGCTATATGAAAGGTTCGAAGACAAGGTAATCCCTCGCGGCTCAGATGTGTAGGGAAGGTTTCTTGAAGGAGGTGTAATCTTGAGAGGACCTTGACAATAAACATAAAGGAAAACACGTGATTTTCAGTGACTGAGTTTTGATTTGGGGATTACAAATAAATTACACTGAGTAGATGAATTTCCAAATATGTGATAATGCAGTTAACATAGTTCAGTGAGATAGTCTATATGCAGCCATTAATGGGATCTAAGCAGGAACCGATGCAATAAAAATATTAAGAGGTTCATCTGGTCATTCATTCACTCAACTATCAAACATGTAAGAAAAGTTTGCTGTGTAGTAGAGGCTGCACAAAGTCCTTAGATCCAAAGAATAAACGTGGTGTCTAATTTTAAGAAAATTGAGCCAGGTGTGGTGGTGCACACCTGTAATCCCAGCATTTGAGAGGCTGAAGCAGGAAGATCACTGTTAGTTTGAGGCCACCCTGGGCTACATAGTGAGTTCAGGCCCAGCCTGAACCACAAAGTGAAACCCTGTCTTAAAAAAAAAAAAAAAAAGAAAAAACCCAAAAGAAGGAAAGAACCCCCAAAACATTGAGAACATTGAATCTAAGCAAAAATACGCTATGAGCAAAGCCAGGGAGGAAAAATGAGGCCGCCAGAAGTCTCCTTCCAGAATCGCTCTCGAGGTGATGGGGTCCGGGCTTTGCAAAGCTGGAGCAAAAGCAGGGTGGGGGCACACACAAAGATCAAAGTAACGGGTTATGTTTTTATTTGAATGTTAGAGTGAGGGGGACTCGAGTATCTTCCAAACTGCTCGAGAAAGAAAGGTGTGGCAAATATATGCTCCTGTGCTCCAGCAAAAGGCGTCTCTCAGTGTGAGAGGCTTACAGTCAGAAGTTCTTCCCCCTCTTTTCCTCTCTGCTGTGTCTTGCTTCAGCTGTCTTTTTTCTCATTTTCTGGTTGTTTTGAAAATGATTTTCCTGTGTTGACAGCAATAACTACTTCATTTTTCTGTTTGTTAGAAACATAACATCTTCCTTATGTTTCTTTGGAAGGACCTGACTGTTCTTTCGAGTCTGTTACTCCTGGGACTGAATGTATACCTTGCGGAAATTCTCATGCTCAGAGGGGTGTTGAGTTGGATGTGTTTGATACAAGTGAATGAATCAAATAGGGTTTCAGGCATGGTGTAGACCTGGCAACGAGAAAGAGGCATAAGGCTCCTGTTTTCAAAGAGCTGGTGAGTGCCAAAGGCTAAAGCAACTCTAGGTAGTAAAAGGCTGGTCACATTTCACGTTGCAGATCCCTACATTTTGTAGCCAGCATGGACGGTAGAGCATGAAGACACAGCCTGTTTGCCATGCCTCTACTTTCAGATGCTTTTGCTTTCAGATGCCTTAAACTTAACTGCATTGAAGTATTCTAAAGTTAAACATTTATAAAGACACAGAAACAAAAATCAATTTCTGGGGAGAATGTGACTTAAGACAAATACTGTATATTTCCTGATCATCCTTTGGTCTTATTTTTATTGATTTACTTTTTCTCTACTTTATATCATGAACACTTTCTTATTAGGCAGTAAATGACAAGGTTAATACATCAATAGAGCATTCATCATAGTGCAAATTCGCATGCAGAAGCATAATCAATAATATAACATCACAGGCTGGCTCCTCTGGAGAGTTGCTCTTATGGAAAGTTTGACTACAGAGTACTCCATGCAGCAGTTTCCTTATGGATACGTGCTCGGGGTTACCCTGTCCTCAGCTGCTTGGAGACTGAACACTCATATCCTGCCTAGGCTTTTTGTATCCTCAGCATGGTCTTTGTCTTAATACACACTCACGACTATAAAGGATTATTCTAGGAAGACCATGAAACCCAAGTGTTTGAGGTAGTGTCTCTGGTAGCAAAGTTGAACCCAAGGAAAACTTGCTCCAGTGGAGAATTCTGTAAATGTAATATTGTGGGGTTGTTGAAGGGAGAGGCTAACAGTCTGTTTTAATCCCATGTCTCCTCGTGCAGTTTGAAGCTATATGAAGTTATTTGGTTCAGTCTGTGAGACGTCATGAGCCTGGTCTGCTGCAGGGAAGGAAGGCAGCCGGCAGCGGTGGGGGAAGGGGAGGACAGGCCCTGTCTACTCTGCTGGACCCGGTCCGGAAGTCCCGCCTTTCCAGTCCTAAAAGCGGAACGCTGGGAAGATCACTGTCTAGTGAAGGACTAGTCACAGTCGAAATTACCTATTTTGTGAAATTGTGCTATCAGTAATTTCTCTCATAGGACTGTTGAATATATTAAATAAGAACAATGTTAGTTTGTATATGTTAGCTACTGTTATTTCTGTCCTGAATAATATCCTTATTTGCACCAGAAGCCCTTGAATTTTCCATCCAGGTCTGAGAACTTTGCTGGTCACGTTTTACTTTCTCTGAAGTGACGGCTCTTTGTTTTCACTGAGCACTGACCGTGCACCAAAGGTTTGTTTACCTGTCGGCAGTGCTGTGGGAAAGTAGTGGAAACCTTGAGGGATGGAGGCTTGTGAGGGAGGTCCTTAGGTCACTGACAGTGGGGACCTTAGGCCCTTCCTCTTCTTGTTCACTTTCTGGCCGTGATGTAAAAGGTTTCATTCTGCCATGTGCTCTTACGATGACGTGCCGCCTTATCACAGGCCCTGAAGCAATGGGACCATCGGCCATGGACTGTAGCCTTCAAAGCCATGAGCCAAAGTAACCCTTTTATTTTTATGTTAATTCATCATAGGTACTTGTTATAGTGATGGAAAGCTAACATAAATACTACAGCACTGGTTCAGTCATTTACTAAGTGAACACAGGGGTGCAGCTGCATTCAGTGCAGTAATATTGGTGTCCCGCATCTTTCACTCTTGATGATTGCATGACACAAATTGGCGTGGAGCAACTTGAAGTCTAATAAGTCACATCCACTTCTGAGTGATATATTTAGGTTGACAAATGCTTCCAGTAACTGGGATGAGACAAAGCACGAGGATAACTTGATGCCTGGGGGTGGGGGGCATGTGGGAGGATCTTCAGTTTGGGACTGTCGGTGACAATGTTACAGGGAATGGTCTCATGGAGTGCCAAGTGTTGGGCACCTGCAGGAGCAGGCTGGTGAGATGGAGGTGGGAGGGTATGGGAGAGTATTTTGCCAGGGGCAGGTGAATGGTTGATATGTCACAAAAATCCCCTGGCAGGCTGCCAGCACCCCTGGCTGTGGGACAGGTTGTCAAGCTGAGGATGAGAGGTCAGGACTAGTTTGGAAGGCTGTAAGATTAAAATGTTTCATATTTCCGGCCAGTTGCATCTCTTCTAATCCAGTGCAGTGCAACACGTCTCTTCTTAGCCATAGCTTCTCCTACTAGAAGGTGAAATTTAAAAAGGAATGAAAGTAGAAGACTTGGAAAGAGGAATAGCATTTCCCTCAGGCCCCTAATGGAAAGGTATAGCGCACTTCCAGGTCTTTCATCTTTTTCTGCTTTTTTGAGAAAGGGTCTCCATGTGTAGTCCAGGCTGGAGTTAAACTCACAGTGATCCTCCTGCCTCAGTGCTAGAACTACAGGCATGCACCACCACTCCTGGGGCAGGTCTCTCATTTTCTTCTTTATTAGCCACTCAAACCAGGGCTTTACAAACTTATTCCTAGGAATGCTTAGGGCCTTTTGCATTTGTTTTCTTTTATGAAGAAGTAATCACTTCCTCAAATTCCTGGCAGAAATTTTAAAAAATTAATAGTCTATCCTTTTCTTAAAACTTACGTGGTGATAGTAACTTGTATTTGGATCCTATTTTTACATTTGCTTGAGAAATCACAAGTGGTTTCATTTAGTTATGCAAACGGAAGAGTCTGATATTTTAAGGAAAGTCTGATATTTTAAGGAAAGGATCACAAAGATTCTTCAGGACTTTATAGAAGGTAGTGTGTCTTGGTGCTCCCTTGGCATGCAGTTCTCTTTGGAAAACTAGTTGGGATGAGGGACAAGTAAGAAGATTAAAACAGAGGTGACTGTGTTTGTACCTGAGACTGGTGAAGTGGGTCAGACCAGTTATTTTCCCAAGAGGATTATGAAAGTTTATCTTAAGGAACCTGAGTAATTACTTGGACAACAACCAAGGAGTTGCCACACAGAACTTCTTATGGCAGGCTCTCAGCATGCATTCCCGCACAGCCTCGAAGTTTACCTGGCTGAGAGGACATACGATCAGTTTAATTCTTATCAGAGACCTGATGTATAGAAGGTACGCTCCCCTCACTAGGGCTCCGGGGGGTGCAGAGAGGCCTTTTCTGAGGCCACCCCTCATGGTGCTCCTGTTCCAGCCCTGCTCCTACCCATGCTCTTACCACTCTTACGTTTGAACTCCTAAGCATAGACTTTGCTCTGCTTACATTGAACCCCCAGTTCTTAGAACAAAGGCCAACACTGAATGAGCACTGAAAACTTACAAATTTTACTGAAAAAAGGGAGCATGTAAACTTGAGGGAATATTGGATTAGTTCAGTGACAGAGTATTTAAAGATATTTGTTGGAATTATAAGTGGAATCCCTCAAGATTAAATTCAATTAGGAAATAAGAAAAACCTGTCTGTGGGCCCCCAAATTTGAAAATTATACAATGATTCCAGATGAGAAGATACAACTTGGAAATATTTTATGGGAAAAATTTAATTGAAAATAAACGCAGCATAAATCAGCAGTGTTTTATGGTTGGATACAAATTTATTATGACCATAAGCCATATTATTTAAGATATGCTATCTAACTTATAGAAAGTGATTGTACTGATTTTTTAGGCTGATTTTGAATACTAAAGTAAAAAAAAAACAACCGGTAAGTAACAAGTATGCTTTATTGAGACTAGCCAGTATAATAAAGGAACTCAGAAAGTGAAAAATAATTGGCAATATTGCAGACATTTTAGGTGAAAAAAAAACTTTTCATGAGCTTTATTCTTTAAATATCAGAGACCTCTTCTTTGGAAGAAATGTTCTATTTATTCTCTCCCATATTAAAGGCAAGTGGGGGTGGTTTTAGGAAGGTACATGTTACCCCACTGGAAGGAAGGACTTCCAGATTTGGAGCAGTACTGACTGTTATGGGGAATGACAGCTTCTTCACCTGTGCCTTTTCAAAACAGCTGCCGAGGGCCTGGAGTGTCCACTTGAAATTTAGGCTGTGTGAGATGCTCTGCAGAGATGCGATGTGGGCCGTGTGAAATGCTCCGCGGAGATGCGATGTGGGGAAGGTGGAGCTACTCAGAGGGATGGGACGCCTCCGTGATTTCAGGCCCAACCTGACACTGGACTCATTTCCCATGAATCATACCGGTGGCATACAATTAAGGAGTATGTCCATTTACCTAGTCTGGTGCTGTGATATCAGAATAATATAACTCAGATCACTTGGAATTTATGAGAACAATCATATTGGTTCCCGTTCTCTGTACTGAAGTATTTGCTGTGAATCCAGACAGATAATATGCAACATTTGACCTCTGCCCTCAAGAATATTAAAAGGATAACTGCCTGTGAGCCTTCTGAGCTAGAGATCAACATTTCATCTGGAGGTTTTAGTCTCACATTTCACTGAACTTTTAGTTTACTTCCTCATATAATTTGCATGCTTATTGGTTTTCCAGATGTACTGGCATTTCCTTGAGGACACAGATAGTTTCTCATTGTCCTTTAACTTGAGCACATTCTGAAAGCACAGTGGTTTGTGTAATAGTGCTTGTGGAAACAGACTGTGCAGATCATTGCCCTGGAAATATGTTGAGAACAAGAAGATAGCCCGGGAAAGTTCAGGGGAGGGACATGTTTTAAAAATTGATTAAATCATTAAGCAGTCTCCTTCTAGGCTCTGAATATGAGCACAGGAGTAGAGTAGGGGGCGTAAAAGATGAAAAACCAAGATTGGCCCCCAAAATGGTGACATACAGGCTACAGAGCCATTAGACAAGCCAGGACAATAACCTGAGTTATGGAGAGTGCTGCCTTGGGAATTGCTTAGTCAAATTCATCACTCAGCACCAAACAGCGCACACAAGAACACGTGGTGGAAATGTTAGTGCTTCCAAGGTTTAAGTTCATAGAGAAAGAGGAGGAGCAAGTAGTTTCGGTGAAGTCAAAAGTTTAACTTTAAGGTAAAGATGTGCTTTTATGATTGCAGGTGAAGCTGGACTGGGCTCAGAGGAAGAATGCAGAAAACAAGGGAGCCCATTAGGTCCAAGAGCAGAGGTTAATTCTAACAAGCAGCGTGTAGAAGTGGAAGGTCCCACAGCATCTGAAGTCCAGGCATTCCTTGGGCAAAGACTTGTCTGGATGTGAGGGACCACTCAAAATGACAAGACTGCTGCAAGAAGGTGCAGCCGGGGCTAAGTGCAAAGGTAAGCTGGCCAAGTTGATTCAGGCAGACACTGTTACACCTGAACAAGAATACACACTTTACACCTTAATACATTTTTTCATTTGGAGTTTTCTTATGTTTTTAAGCAAATATTTATTATGGAAAAACCTCCGGGTTACCCCTACCCCGAGTGTGGTCAGCATAGCATGAAGACAGACTTCACCTGAGATGTAGGACAGAGAAAAAACAGCACTTTGCCTGCCTTGTAGCTCAGTATTGGGCCAGTGAAACTTATCACTAACCTCTGTCAGTAAAGTTTCTGTCTGCCCTGATGCCAGGTGCAGACCCGAAGTCCCAGGTGAACAAACTTGCGTTACAGCCAGCATTACTCACAGCTGACACAGTAGTCTGGGGCCATGACACCATGTACATTTCTCCTGTTCTTTGTTGTGCTAGGCTCAGGGGGCTGTGGGCTCTAGTGAAACCCAGCATTGTGATGCTGGTGGCTACAGAACTGACCATCCATGTCCATCCTGCCACCAACTGCAGGTAAAAAAAAGGAGAGGTCATTGTCTCCTGGGAGGAAGTAGAGGGAAGGTCGTGCCAACATGCTGCGTAGGAACCTACGGCTGGTGGCTCCAAAAGAAGGACCAGTGCCAGGGGGAATATTTTTCACCTGAACACTGCCTTCTGACTGTAGATGAAGCATCCAGGCCTGCCCCAACCCAAGGCAGGAGTCTGGATTACCCTTTTTCAGCACTTCCCAAGAACATTATGAACAGTGTACAGGCTCTGAATGGGGACAAACTTAGGCACTGGGTGTCTGTGGGTGTGGGGAGCACCCACTCTGGTGCTGAAACTGACAACACGCCAGCCACGTACGCACAGAAAATCTGGACCTACAATGCCACCTAGTGCTAATATAGCAGTAGTGACCACTACTTCAGAGAAAATAAGCAGCATGCTTGGAATTTCTGGAAGGACGTATACAAACTCATGATGAGGATGAAAGCAAATAACCCTTCAGTCTGAAGACATCACTGTATTCAAGTAGCCCTGATGAGCTTCCAAGGAGACGTGACCTCCGCTAATGGGCAAAATAAGACACCAGAGACCAAGCATGTGTGAATCAGTATCTACAAATTCTTGGATAGAGAATTCAAAAATAAAGATGTGCCTCAATGAGCCTGAAGACAACACAGAGAAACAATTCAGGATTTTACTAGTGAACAACAAAGATGAAAGTAATTACAAATAAGACAAATCCTTGAGCTGAAAAGTATATGAAATAAAATAAAAAATGCGATGGGAGACGATAGCAGACAAGAACAAACAGAATCAGTGAACTCAAAGACAAGGTATTTGAAAATATACAGAGGAGAGAAAGGAAAAGAATGATGGAGATTGAAGAAAACTTATGGGAACTTTGAAACAGCATGAAAAGAGCAAATATTTAGATCATGGGGATCCAAGAAGGAAGTGATGACATGAAACAGGTAAAACGTTTGCTCAAAGAAATAATAGCAGAAAAACAGAGATAGATACAAATATCCAGTCAAAAGTCATCGTTCAGATACTACTCTACCAAGTTTTCCTGAGACATCTCAGAGTTAAGCTCCAAAAAGTCAAAGACAGAGGATATTCTTGAAAGTCAGGAAGAGAAATTGAACAAATTATACATATGGGGATCCTGGTCCCCTTGACACAGCAGACTTCTCAGTAGAAAAATGGAAAATTAAGAGACAGTGAGATAACATATTCACAGACTAAGCAAGAACACTGTAACCAGTAAAGCCATCCTTTAAAAATGAAGGAAAGCATGAACTGAAAAAGTATAATAAATTAAGTGAAAAATGTGGAAAACTTCAGTAGCAGATTGAAATGAACAGAAGAACCAGTGGCAGTTCACTGCCAGAAATGATGAGAAGGAGGGCACTCTTCAAATTGAAAGAAAGAAAGATGCTGGTGAGTCAGAAGAGGGCATCAAGAAGATACAACCTACTTCTAAGGACCACTACATAGACGCACTCAGAATATACTGCATAATAAACATGGTTTGCAAAGCATTCATACCTTAGGAATGAAGACTAAGAAAACGCTAGTAAAAATAGTATAATATTATAATCTTATATAGTTTAATTGATGTAAGATTAATATGTTAAGAGTAAGCAATATTAAAAACATGTAAAATGGGACAAAAATTTAAATTATGGGAAGGAATAAACTGTAAGTGCAGAAGTTTTTAATAGTATTATTTATTGTTTCTCTTTTATCTAAAAAATCAATATTGAGTTACTATAATTTCAAAATGGCTTGCTATAATGAAAATATTTTCATAAATCTCATGGTAGTCAGGAACCAAAAATCTACAATAGACAAAACAAATATAATAAATAAGAAATCAAAACACACTACTGGAGAAAAATCACTTAATGCCAAAGGAAAACTATAAGAAAGTAATAAGGAAAGAAAAAGCTGTTAAAGATCAACAAAACATAGAGGTTGTTTTTCAAAACATAAAAAATAGACAAACCCTTAGTTAGATGACTAAGAAAACAGAATACTCAAAATCTAATATCAAATATGAAAAATTACATCATTTCATGACAAATCTGAGTAAATTTGGTATAGAACATACCTCGCAACTGATACCAGAGAGATACAAAGAATCATTAGAGATGATTATGAATATTTCAACAAATTTGATCATGCAGGAAAAATGGACATATTCCTAAACATGTGTAACTTAACAGACCAATGAATAGCAAGTGACAAGAGTGGGGCACTAAGGGGCTGGGGATATGGCTCAGCGGTACAATGCCCTGAGTTCAATTCCTGGTACAAAAAAAAAAGGCTTGAGTAATTTTGGGGGCTAGGGTTTTAGCTCAGCAGCACAGTGCCTGCCTGGCAAGCATGAGGTTGTGAGTTCAATTCCCGGTACTGGAGAAAAACAAACACACAAACAAAACAAAACAAACAAACAAACAAAGACAGAGGCACTAATATAGAGCCTGTCCCACAGTGATGGACTACAGACAACAACACTCACAATCACTCTGAGATGTCCACCCAGGCCAGGACCATGCGGCTGCCAGGGCGGTGAGGAGCCCAACCACCAGAGTACAACTTGAGGGAGCAGCGAACAGGTGAGATCGAGGGAGAAGTTGCTGGGATAAGGGAGCAGGTGCTGCTTACAGCGCAGGTTTGGAGAGTGCCCCATTGTGTGGAAAGTGTGAAGTTCTCCAGGGAGGAAACTGATGGGGGCCGTCACTGCTCCATGCCCAGCACAGCCACCACCACCCTCAACACCACCTGGGCTGAGTAGACACCTCCCTGAGCCCAGAGTCTGAAATATTTGCCCTGACAAGGCTTCCAGGTCCTGGGTGCTGCAGGTGCAGTAAGGCAGGGACCCAGAGGGAGGAGGGAGGAGGACCAGAAATGCCAAATGAAAAGAGTGAGAGACAGAAAGGACAGCGTGGGGAGCCAGAGCCAGACAGACACTGGGGCAGAGTGAGATGGTCTGGAGAATCCTGCTTTGGTGTAGCATCTTCCTGCCCCTGGGCATGATGGGAACTGTGACCCACAGAGAGATTCAGAGGGTGTGGCAGCTGAACTTTATAGGTCATTGGGCTGGAGAGAAGTTGTAGGCTTGGTAAGAGGTTCTTGTCCTTCGTGTTCCTTCTGACCCTTATACCACTGGAATTGTGGGTCAGAAAGAATCTGTGCTAATAGCGGCAAAACTGAGCTGCAAAGAGAAGGGTGGGATGAAGATACCCATGAAGATGCTGACATGTGTATGGCTTGGGAGCCTGAGGGTGAGATCTGCTGATAGTAGCAATGCAATCACCTTGCAGACCATATTCCCAAGAAAACTAAGGCTCTTCAACATGGCGGTCTAAAGATGATAAGACACCCTGGGATATTCATCCTAACCAATGCAACAGGATAATTATCCTCTTTCTGCTTATCTGTCAGTATGTTGGTTCCTCTTATTGGGATTGATCTTCTTACATATATACATGTGGGAGTAAATGAGTGAATTAGTTTTCTGCTCTTGCTTCTGCAGTGTTCTACATTATATTGTCACCTCTTTTTATGCTATATTGTACATATTATATATATATCAATCGCCTCTTCATAGAGATATCTAACTTTGAGTATTAGTTGAAAAATTGGTTATAATCTTATCTCTTCTCTCACCTCTTATTTACATTCCTATTCTTTCTCTGCTTTATTTTTTCCACCCCACATACCTTTAATCTATTGACTCTTCCTCATTTAGTTTTATTTCTCCTGTAATGTGAATATCTTTGAGATTTTAGCTTTTTGGATTTTCTTTTGTCTTTTTGAGACAGGGTCTCGCTATGCAGTTCAGGCTGGCCTTGAGCTCACTTTGTAGCCCAGACTGGTCTCAAACTAGCAATGCTTCTCCTGCCTCAGCTTCCTGAGTGCTGGGATTACAGGGGTGTGCCACCACACCTGGCTTGGTTTTAGATTTTCTAGAGTATTAGATTTTATTACTTTCCCTGTCTATTCCTGGGACAAAAGAATAGTAGAGATCTCTTAAAACAAGTTTTTTAGATTCTCTAAATGAAAGACATAGACTATCAGATTGGATCAAAAAGCAAGACCCATCTGTGTGTTGCCTACAGAAGCCATGTATCATTTGCCGATATATACAGACCAAAATTGAAAGGATGGAGACCAGTACTCCCAGAATGCGGATCCCAAAAGCAAGCATGGATAGCCATACTTATATGTAACAAAGTTGACTTTAAACCAGAACTGGTTGGAAGAGACAAAGAATGTCACTACATATTGGTAAAGGGAACAATTCACCAAGAAGAGATAACAACTATAAATATATATGGACTGAATATCAATGCACCCAATGTCATAGAACAATACTCTGCATAAAAACATAAATAGTCACCAGTGCAATCATAGTTGGAACTTTGATACACAATTCTCACAAATAGGCAGAATTAAGCTGCACTATATCTCAAACAGATTTAATTGATATCTCAGAGTGTTTCACCCAGTAAAAGCAGAATACACATTTTTCAGCAGCATATAGAACTTTCTCCAATACAGGTCATACTTTATGTCATAAAGCAAGTCCAATAAATACAAAAATTGAAATAATCCCATGTGTCCTATCAGATACAACAGCCAGAAACTGAAAATTAAGAGCAAAGAAATACAGGAATTACACAAACACATGGGGATTGAATAGGACACTTCAGAATACTCAGTGTGTTACAGGAGAAATCAGGGTAGAACTTTAAAATTCCTAGAACCAAATGATAATAGAAACATAACATATCAGAATCAAGGATCTGATAGATTTACAGTTGAATTTTATCAGACCTTTACAGAAGAGCTGATACAAAGTCTTATTAAAATTTTTTCATATAGTAGAAAGGGAAGACATGCTTCCAAACTCATTCTATGAAGCCACATTACTCTGCTGCCAAAACCAGAGAAACGTTTACTAAAAAAGGACACTGGACCAATATCCTCAATGAATATAGACGCAAAACCCTTAATCACATAAATGGAATTTAACAACACATTAAAAAGATCATCAGGACTACGTTGGTTTCATCCCAGGAATGCAAGGATAGCTCACCATATGTCAGTCAACAAAAGTAATATAGTATACAACTAGAATCAAGGTTAAAATCGCATGATTATTTCAGTGGTGCAGAGAAAACCTTCAACAAAATTCAACATCTTTTCATGATAAAAGTCCTAATGATAACAAATATAGAATATTACTTCAAACTAAAAACAAGCCATATATACCAAGATTACAGGCAACATCATACTGAATAAGGAAAGAACTAATTCCTTTAAACTCAAAAATTTCCTCTAAACTGAAGAATGAGCCAAGAGTGTCAACTTTCACCACTCTTAGTTAATATAATATTTGAAATTTTGGTCAGAGCAAATAGGCAAGAGAAATAAAAGGCATGTAAATAAAAAGGAAGAAGTCAAATGATCTCTTTTTGCAATAATATGCCTACACAGAAAAGCCAGAAAAACTTAATCAGAAAATGTTTAAATCTAATAAACAATTCAGCAAAGTGACAGGATACACAATCAGCACATAAAAGTTAATATCATTCCTGTACACTAATAATGATCTCATAAAGAAGGAAATCAGGAAAGCAATTCTACTCATAATAGCTTCAAAAAAGTTATATGCCTAGGAATTAAAGAACTAAAAGACCGCTGCAATTAAAATTAAAGTGATATAACACTGAAGAAAGATATTGAAGAGGACATTAGGAAATGGAAAGATCTCCCTTGTTTATGGGCAGCAGAACTAATAGTGTTAAAACAGCCATATTACCAAAAGCAATCTATAAATTCAGTGCAATTCCTATTAAAATACTATCAATATTCTTCACAGAGCTAGGAGAAACAATAGTAAAATTCATACAGAATCCAAAATAACCCAAAGTAGCCAAAGAAATCTCGAGCAAAAAGGACAATGTTAGAGGCACTACAATGCCAGGTTTCCAGTTATGCTACAGAGCCATAGTAAAAACAACTACACGGTAGTGACACAAAAACAGATATCTGCACCATGGAATACAACAGAAGACAAAGACACAAACCCACGTACCTACAGCTTTCTGGGCTTTGGCAAAGGGACCAATGTTGGAGGAAAGATGACCTCTTTCACAAATTTTGGTGGGAAATTAGATGTGCACAGATCCACAGAAGATTGGAACTAGATTTCTATCTCTCACTCTACAGTAACTCAAATAAAAATGAATCAAAACCTATGTATAAAACCAGAAATTTTGAAACTGCTGGAAGGTAATAAAGGGAGAACACTTGAAGTCATAGGCACAGGTTAAGACTTCCTCAGTAGGATTCACTGGCACGGGAAATAATGCCAAGTATCAATGAATGTGTTTAATATCAAATTAAAAACATCTCCAGAGCAAAGGAAATAACAGAATGAAAAGAAGAACTATGGAAGGAGAAAAAAATCTTCGGTGGCTATTCTTATGACAGAGGATTAATATTAAGATATATAAAGAACCAAACAAAATTAATCCCCTGAAAACAAATGACCCAATTAAAAAATGGCCTAATGGAGCCTGGTATGGTGGTACTCTGAGAGGCCAAGGCAGGAGGATCACAAGCTCAAGCGTAGCCTGGGCTACTTAGTGATTGAGCAAGACCTTATTTCAAAAATATTTAAAAAATAATAAGCAAACAAACAAATAAATAAAGATCTGGAGATGTAGCTCGGTGTGAAGGCCCTGGGTTCAATCCCCTACACTGAAAAAAGTGGGCAAATGATCCAAATAGACAATTCTCAAAAGAAGGAGAGCAAATGGCCAATAAAAAATATGAAAGATATTCAATATCTTCAGCCATCAGGGAAATGCATATCAAAAACCACATTGGGATTCTATCCAAATTCAGGCAGAATGGTTATTATTGAGTATACAAAAAACAATTAATTAGGCTGTGGGAAAAAAAGAACTTTTTTATATTGTTGGTAGGAACGTAAACTAATATAACCACTGTGAAAATCAGTATGAGTTTTCTCAGAAAACTAAAAATAGACATACCATTTGATCCAGTTCTACCACTGCTGGGTATATTCCTAGAAGAATTAGAGAGAGCATATTATAGTGATACGTGCATACTCATTTTTCACAGCAGTCTAATTCATGATAACTACGCTGTGGAAACAGCCTCTATCCCCACCAACAGAGGAATGAATAAGAAAATATGGTGTACATGCACATTATTTTTAGCTAAATAAATAAAGTCATGTCATGTACAATTAAATGTATGGAACTGGAGACCGTCATGTTAAGCAAAAGAAGCCAAACTCAGAAAGTTAAATGCCACATGTTTTCCCCTTGTGTGAGAAATACAAAATATAAATAAATGAATGAATAAAATAAAGAAGAGAGACAGGAAACTGGAATGTAGATACTTGGGAATGGGGATGGGGTTCAGGGGAACGGGGCAGAAAAGGAGCGTGGGTAAAGAGACTGAAAGTTATTACGATGTGTGACATGCCTGTATCAGTTCCCCAGTGAACATCGTTCCGTGTGCTAACATGCACTTTTAAAAAGCCTTTTGGTGCCAATCTTTGGTGAGA